CCTGGAGATGTTCACTGGATGGGGAACGCTGGCTGAACATTACCTAAGATTGATGTACTTGAAGATAAAACCAACTTTTCATTTTGTGTACCACTCAAGCTGTTGCTTGGTTTTGCTGAAGATTTTAAAGAGATTTTGCTAAATGTGAAACAAGAACTAGTATTGTTAAGATCTTCATCAGACAAAAATGCAATATTGCAAGCTGCAGCATCTTTACAAACTGTTAAATTTGTAATAACCAAACTTATCTGGAAAATGCCTTATGTGAAAATTGATGATGAAATTAAACTATCACTTCTAAAACTAGTGGAAAAAGATCAACCTTTAAGAATTGCCTTTAGGAGGTGGCAAATGCATGAGTACCCTGTGCTACCTCAAACCACTTCTCAAACATGGACTGTTAAGACACTATCAGTTATTGAGAAACCTAGATATGTTATTGTAGGTTTCCAAACTGAACGTAAAGAAAAAAATAATAAAAATGCATCACATTTTGATTTTTGTGATTTAAATAACATAAGGCTTTATTTAAATGGAATATACTACCCATATGATCCATTGAATGGAAATAAAGCTTTGTTATATGAGTACTATGCAAAGTTTCAATCTTCTTTCTATGCAGGAAGTGATGATCAACCATGTATAAGCAAAAAAGACTTCATTGAGAGTTCACCATTATTTGTATGTGATTGTTCTAAACAATCTGAAACTTTAAAAAGTGGCACAATTGATGTACGTCTTGAAATTGAAACTACAAAAGCAGTTCCTGCAAATACTGCTGCATATTGTTTGATTATAAGTGATGGATTAGTGTATTACTCTCCATTGTCTGGAACTGTCAAAAAGGTTATGTAAATAGTGTATTATATAAATAAATCTTGTTTTTAAAATATGTTGTTATATGTTAACCTTATACCATTATAATAAAGGAAATTAAAAACACAAATTAATATCATATATACAAGTTTATTTACATATTTCACTGACATAATTTAAAATGCCCATAAGCTAAGGCGTTAATACCATCATCTAGAATATGTCTTTTGTCATCATTTGCATTCATTGCAATTTTATTGATAGTAATAGTGCTAATTCTATGATCTTTTGACCGAAACAGAGTTTGTTTCTTACAAATATTCAAGTCTCTATTAAACAAACATTTTTTAAAATCATCAAAATTGATGGCTTTTTCCACAACCTTTTTGTTAACACCTTTAGCTTTTTTCCTAACAACCTGTTCAAATATTTCATAACAGTAAAGCTTTGGACGCAAACCTACATACTCAATAATTATTTTGCCAGAACATTCATCCTTAAATTTACCTAGCACTTTCTTGTTACTAGCTGAAAAGTATGGATGATTCTTACAAAAATTAGAAGTATCAAAATACTGTTTTAGTTCAGGGCTATTCATGTCTACATATATATCATTAGTGATAATTTCATAAAAAAGTGAATCTGTGTCAGAATACAAGAGTTTAACATTTGAACCAAAAAACCGTTTTATGATTTGGTAGTGAAAATCGTACATATGAAGTTTACTCAGCTCTAGCACTGTAAACCCAATATAAATGGGTTTATTAAAAACAATACTTTCTTTTGAACAAGAGACAGCAGCTAAGGATTCACTGTAAATAGTTCTATTCAAAAATGTAGGCTTACAAACTAATTTATCCAAACGTTTTTGTGATGTCACCAGTTCAAGAGACATTCTTTTACGTATATTTTCAATACTCTTACCAAACATTGCATTGTTCATTTTTTTATACAAGTCTTCCTCAAAAGGGTTTTTAGCTAATGTTCTTTTTGCAGTATTCCAATCTATGTAGGGTTTAAGCCAAGGGCTTTGATTGAATTTTAAGACTCTATGGACTTTTGTTACTTTCAAGCCTAGTTGAATAGCCTGTTTAAGGTTTAAATAATGGGTAACGTATCTTTCCTTATTTTCTAAAGTAGTTAACAGTTTGGTTTGCTTAGAATTTGGTGGTGGTTTATTTTCAGGAAAAAGTGGTAAGTCATTATGTGAATCATGGAGATAAATTGGATATTCAACATCAACTTCCAAAACAAAACCAACAGAAGAGTCATCAGGAATATCATCTACTCTAAAAGATGCTATGTCTTGTTTGTTCATCCATTCAAATGAATTTAGTGGCATAGATTTACTCATGGCTAGGCCATAGAGGTTATTGGCATCAAAATACATTAGATAAGAACTTTCTACTTTTGGATCATACAACTCTTTCATATATTTATTGTTAGCACGAGCATATCTTTTAGAGCAGGATGTGATTCCACCTCTTACACCTTTTTCAATAAACAAATACATGTCATAGTTTGTAAACAGTTCTAATTCTACTTTTGTGTATTTTAACATAGCATCAAATGTTAAACCTGGCAAAGAAAAGTAATGAGCACAATCCAATCCATAATTTTCAACACAAATTGATCGAAAGTTCTCAAATGTATCACAAAGTAGTAGTACATCTACTTTAAGATAGAGATCACTATAGCTTCCTAAGTCCCTACATTTAAAATGTGACCAGACTGTTTTTGCATGCTGATATTCATTTTCATCAATCGGTTCTAGTTGATAAGGGTACGAATCATTTTCTGGATCAACCATCGTTGGATCTCCCAAACCCTTGTAAAAGAAGGATTTGTCTGGCAATTGTTTGTCATTTAGTTTTTCCCAGCTATCCGTATACTGGTATGGGTACACTCCCTTACGAGTGACCAGAGGTAAATCAGATTCATGAAAAAACTTTTTAGTATGGGAAAAGTTTTCTTTTGGCAAGTTATTAGCCAACTCACTTAATGATCGATCCATAAAACGATAAGTATCCACAAATCTTAAAGTAATGCCTGATTGAGTATATTTGGAAAATGTAACATATTTTTCCTTTGAATTAGGTATTACACCGACTCTGTAATTATCACACCCTAATTCTCTTATTACAAAATGGTTGTCATAGTTAGAACTTCCATGCATAAATACTGGTAAAAATTTCTGAGATTGTCTCTTAAGATTACATTGTGAACACAGCACATTCCTAAATCGTCCACTAAAGTGGCAGTGATCACGAACTGGACAATTAATTAATGTAAATTCACAGTCACACAGTTCACAGTTTGAGGCATTTTTAAACCGTTGTTTCTCATCATTTGTTAAAGGCAACATAGGGACATTTAATTGGGTTAAATCACCAATTAAATTAGCCAGAGTTTTCATGTAATGCATAAATTTTGCTGGAGCATCTAACCCTCGATAAATGTATGGTTCTTTAGGCAAATAGTTAGCTATATAAGAAGGCAGAGAATCATCATAAGCAACATACACCCCAAAGCTCATTGGTTCATGAACATTATTAACATAGGTCTTATCAGAAACTTTTTTGTTAGTTTTTAATAACAAACATTCAAAATCAGCATAACAAACAATTGGCAGTTTAAATAAATAGTGATGATTTTTGAACTTCAAAATGTTTGACGGGTCAGATTGGTTATTTACTGAAGGTTTGGATGGCATTACTACTCTTGCTGGGGTCTGTTTGGAACAGTCAGTTAAATGGGCAGTTAGATTTACTTTCCTCTTAGGACCTTGGTAATGTTTAAAAAATCGTTTACAGATAGACAATTTTCCAGTGTTGGTAGTTAATTGTTTCCTTATTAATCTACTCAAATCTTTAATATAACAGTAATGGTTAACACCATTTTTTGAGATAAAAAGCAAGTCAAAATGGTTAGGTTTTTCTTCATTGGTTATTCTTAAAGGATAGACTATGTTCTGTTGATTTAAACCATAAACGTTAACACTGGTTCCGGGATTTTGTTTTTCAAATTTACTTATTTGTTTGATTGGTATGGGAAAGGAAATTCCTGTGAAGTTGAATTTGTGTCTATGTTCTAAAGTTTTAGCAGTTATTCTACAATCATTTGTGTATTTTACTAGGAGAGACCATTCAAAACAGTTCATATCCCGATGGTTCTTAGGATTGATGACGGCTTTCTTTAATGCGATTTCCTTTGGTAGAGGAATATAGGTGCTTCCTCGCAATGGTCTATACCTGCTAAATCTCAGAAGCAATCCATCAACAGTTGATAGCGTCCACCCCGTAGCGTTGATCCCTTCCCTTCGTATTCATGTTCTTCATAACACAGCTTACTAAACATTTTTCTCAAAATTGAGTTTATTGAAGAGCTTTCCAGCACAGCCTTGTTTTTGGTTTTAAATGTTCTTAGTTGAATTTCATCTGTCACTGGTTTAATATAAGTACATTCACTAACTATATTGAACTTTAAAGCCCCATAGTCACTTAAAAGGTTTTGAATAATACTTTTAATTTTTGATTCCACAGAAATTAACAAAAAACACAAGTCCTTATTTTCCTCATCACCGTTTTTAAGATAAAATGTTTTCAAGTTTCCGCTGAATGCATTTCTTAATTCAACAAATTCATTAAATGGTCCAGAACACGACCGGTAAAATCTAGAATGTGTTCGAGCAACACTTTCATCGTCCGTTTCCATCTCCCCTTCCGAGCTTACCTCCATCCTGTGGATTAACAAAACTATTTAGAATGGTTTCTCCTCTACAATTGTGTAACTAACACCACTATTTATAAGTTATTTGTAATAAGCTAACTATCTAATAACGTACTACGCCTACAAACAATTGCTTGTTAATTAGTTTTCCTATCCAGCTTAACCTCCTCACACTCTACTCCAGGCGTTTCTTTTATAGCTCTTCCTACATCATACAAAACAGTCCTAATCTTTTTGAAAATGTGAGTTTTTGGCTCTGTCAAAAAAACAACTTTAGTTGATACTTTAGTCCAAAACTTGCTTGTTGGACATTTCTTAAGATCTTTAGTGTCGGTTAGCTCTATTTTAATCATGTAACGGCCCTCCTCACCGGGTGTAATAAGTTTCTTCCTCAATCTTTTCTTTTGAGTTTGAAATGTTTGCCTAATGTTAGAGGATTTTTTTGTGGACTTTACAACAAACAACCTATCAAACTTGTCTGAGTTATCTGATTCGGATCCAGAATCAGAAGCCTCGGAATGTTCATCACCCGATGATGCTTCAGATGACTCAGATGGAGATGGTGAACGATTTCTTTTCCTCTTAAGGGAAACCTTAACACTGGGCTCATGGGTTCTTTTTGGAACTGAAGGTTTATCATTATCATCATCTTCAATCAAGCTAACCTCAGGCTCTGGTAAACCACAATTAAAAACAGCCAAAGCATCTTCCACTGTACTACTCAAAAAATTGCTGGTTTCAATTGAGAAGAACCTATCACTGAAATTTTTTTTCTTTAGCAAAGGTTTGACACATTTAATTAGATCTTTAGATGAGATTTCCTTAGCCAAGAGTCTTGGGAGTTTTTCTTGTGATAGATCATTAGGGAAAAATTCAAATAGTTTTGAATGTAAATGTTGAGATATTTGAGTTAGCAGCAATTGGAGATTCGCAAGTTCAGGATGAGAATAGAATCGTTCAGAGTCTCTTAATTTTGGAATTATATTCAGCCATCGTTCTACTGAATTTAATCCAAGAGTAATTAGATTTTGTACTATTTGTAGTAAACTGATCATGCCCACTGCAGATTTTACAACGCCCTCTTCAACTGACTGTTTAGATGGTGTCTGAGAATTCATGACTGCAAATATGTAAAAAAATGTTACAATTTTTAAACTTGCAATAGCATTTCATGAAACAGTAATATTTGATTTTGAGCTTTGGGTTTTAAAGTTAAATGTAGTTTACATTCTCACAACTAACCCACTAAAAATCTATTGAATTACTAACACAAGAAACCTGTCTATCCAGAAATCTTATTTTACAATTAGCTTATGAAACTTTTTCTTATATTTTTTAAATATCTGCAATATTTTAATTTGATATTTTGAAGCTATGCCTTCTTGTTTTGGCCGTGTTGGAGCCATTACTGTAAATAAGTAAAATTACTAATGTTATTATTATTACACAAGTAATATAGTAATAATATTAAACTGTTAATAAAATGTATTGTTAAATAAAAATTAAATTTCCCATCCTAGACTTCTGCTACATTACAGATTGCAATCTATCGTCCAGTAGAACCAAAACCTCCTGCACCCCTTTCTGTTTCATCTATACAAACTAGTTCATACACCTGCGGATAGCAAATCTTTTCGCAAATTAATTGCGCGATTCTGTCTCCCCTTTCTACCATATAATCCTCATCTGAATGATTACACAGTATAACCCCTATGTTACCAGCGAAATCCGCATCAATCACTCCGCCTGCCACATCAATACATTCTTTTAACGCGAGACCAGATCTCGGTGCAATTCTGCCATAACAATTGGCAGGGAGTGTAACTGCTAGATCTAACAACACACAAGCTCTCCCATTTGCAGGAATAGTAACCCTAATTGGTGATCTTAGGTCTAAGCCTGCTGCTTTGTTTGTGTGTCTATACGGGATGAAAGCGAGCTCGGACAGCTTTAGAAACCCAATTGAATTCATTCTGAAATTAAGAATAAGATATAATTGTAAACGTTGGCATGTTTAAACCTATTAATAGTTTATGGTATTTTAAACTGAATTTTTAATAATTTAACTACGCACATACCTGATTAATTGAGAGTTTAGCTAGAAGTCTGGGAGATGAAAGTGGTTAAAGAGTAAGGCTGGAGGTTGAGCGAAGGCCGGAGGTTGAGCGAAGGCTGGAGGTTGAGCGAAGGCTGGAGGTTGAGCGAAGGCTGGAGGTTGAGCGAAGGTCGGAGGTTGAGCGAATTTACACACGCAGATTCCTGAAACCATAACAGTAAATTAGTAAGCTGTAATCAGTAATATATAATAGTTTAGTTTATATTCAAACCAACTGAGATGGTTCAAACCTTTATTAAGCGTAAATTAATTAAGCTCAAGTATTGAATTTGAAATGCAGCAAAAATAAAATAGATATTTATGTTGCAGGGATGGTGAGATACAAAAATTATTGTTATTAAGATATTTTGGCTCACTAGTTATATTACATGGAAGTCAATTGTAAAACTAAAGCTAGTAACTATTGTATTTTATCAGGGTTACAGTTTATAACACAATATACAAGTTAAATAAAAACATTAATATGTGTGTTAAAATCCAATAAGCATATAATTTTAATGGCATTATAGTTTTGATATTAAATTAATATAAGTGTTAAAATGTGCGTGCTAAAAACAGAAACATAATGGAATAGTTAACAAACAAAAATCAAGTTTACGTAAAAATAATTACTTGAACATTACAAACTTACTTAAAGTTTTACGGTGTAGAGCGTATGGACGTAGTGGAGTAGCGCTGAGCAACAAGATGGTGTAGGATGGTAGATGGTGTACTAAGCCGGAACTAAGCAGCAAGATGTTCAAACTGGAATCAACCAATATTATTAGATCACTATTACTTTGCATTTAAAAATATAAGTTTATTACTAACTAAGAAAATAAAGAAGCTAATCATGTTTCACATATTTAAACTCTGTGTTTACTAAGTTACAAAAATAATGAAACAAATGTTATTCCATAGTAAAAACGCATATTAGCATTTTAGAAATATTCATTTAATAATTTAAAAGAATTTTCAGTACAAAACTATCCTACACTAAAACGTTTAGTAAACAACTTAGCTAACCTAACAAACCAATATTGTGCTTTTGCAAAGTTAGTTTAAGAATTATTTTTCAATAAGCAATCAAACAATAATTAATATCAAACAACTAGTAAACACTTGGCAAGTTAAGTTATTCTTACAGAATAAAATTAAAAAAGTTTAATTAAAAATTAACCAACTTTTCAAATGTTATTTTGACTTTAAGTTATAAAATAATTAAACCAACATTAAAGTTTTAAGTTAAAAATATGTTAAAGTATTTTAGTTTAACAATAAGTCTTAATAAACTTACATGGTTTGGAGCTTGAAGGCGTAGTGAGGGTTGACGAACTGGAGCAACTGAGTGTTCAAGCTGAATGCTCCATCGTTTTAGCCATTATTTATAGTAACACTCGTGCGTCACTAAATGATTGCTTATGTGATCACAGTACAAATTACATCAGCAAAAGGCTGATGTGAGCAGAGTACAAGTTGCATCAGAAAAGCTGATGTGGGCAGAGTACAAGTTGCATCAGCATAGTCACTGAAGTAATATAGTTAAATACGCAGAAAATAAACAAAAATAATTTGGAAAAAGTATTAAGGTACTATGATATAGTAGGAAACATTTGAAACAAAACTCAAACAAATTAACTAATTTTTAAAACAAAAATATTGAAGAAAAGATTTAGAAAAATTCTGAAACAGTTATCCGGCTGGCAGAATGTAGTAGGAATATAGTTACAATAATATCGAACTGTATAAATCGATTTTCGAAATTAATATCGATATATCAAATCGAACTAAATATCGATATATCGAATCGAACTAAATACCGATATATCGAAGTTAACAGATGTTTTTACTGTTTTGGGTATCAGGGCAACAGAATGCTGTAGCAATCTTTAGCTATCAGCGGCGCGCTGACCTCCAGGTCACCATGTTTGATTACCAATCACTCATTAGCGCATTTGCGAACTTCTGTACTTCCGTGGAAAATTTTATTGCACAGTGGACTGTAAACACCACGTGCGTCCTTTACAACATGCTCGTGATTATCACTCATTTGCGTCAGCCGAAATTGTGATAGATTGGGTACATTACTTGTTGTCTCTATTCAATCAAGTTGTGGTTTTGTGTTAGCTTCAGTGAGCATCTCCTTTCACTAACTTGGTGAGTAAAACACAATTTAAGAATTAGAATCATTTTGAAACTTAAATATTTTTTGAAACTTTAACTTTTTTGAAACTTATACTTAAATTTAATTTTGTTTTGACCAATAAATTCTTTAATCGCTTATATCTTGGAAACGGTAAGAGATAGAGCAAAAATAAGGAAATTTTTAAGAAATTCCATAAAGAAGGTTTTCATATATGAGCCATATACTGATATAACTTCCATTCCTCTGGGACGTGTTTAGGCTGGACTTAACTATTGACCTTTGCCCAATGCTTAATATATACGTTATTATTTGACCTATCGAGTTGAAATTTGGTATGTAGGACGGTTAGAGCCTCTAGTTTGTTTTAGTGCAAACAAAATTCGGAATGGTTGATAAGCTTGCACACTACACACGATCATGTGAATTTTTAAAAGTTGCCTTGCGTTTGGTTATTTACTAACCGATTTATATGAAATTTTGAACATATGTTAAGGACATAAAATACAGTTGACTCGCATGCAAGGATTTGAAAAAAAATCATAAATGTAGGACTTGGGCTTAACTATTTACCTTCACCTTACAATTAATATCTCCATAACCATTTGAGATATAGAGTTGAAATTTGGTATGTAGGATAGTTGCAGTCTCTAGTTAGGATAAATGTAAAAAAAATCTGCAACGCTACACTACTTAAACCTCATCAGCGGAGCTCTTGCCTCCCAGCTTCAACCAGCACTCGCCTTTTGAAACAAAAAGCTCGGTTCCAGAAGAGACAGTGTTTTTCCAAAAAGTAAGTTCCAGAACAGACATTTACTCTCTACTTTCATCTGGTCTTGACTAATGAAAATACGATTGGGATATTGCATGAATGATTAATAATTTATAAAGCAAGCCGTAGTTGTAAAAGCTTGGTTTGGAATGAAGTGGTTTGCTTTCGTATTCATACATATCAATAGTATAGTTTTATAGCTTACGACAGTTTTGATATAAATTTATATTAAAGCATTTAATTAAAATCCAAATTCTACTATGTAAAGCTATATTTAAGGGAATATTTTAAGCAGATAATCTAAAACCATCAAAGGTCATGTACATTTTGCTTGAAACGTACAATAACTTGTACAGATTTAAGCCTTCAATTGGTTATGCCAAGATTTTAGTTAATATGATTTATTAGGCCAATTCTTAAATTTAATAAATAGTTTAAGAAATCGATGCTCTGTAAGATGTAATTACATTTGATGCTGTCTGAAAACCCAAAGGCAAACGAAGACTTGGTTCATTAGGAAAAGAGATACGAACTCATAAAATCGCTATCTAAGAGCCCCTTACTTCAATTTACATAGTACTTGTCTGTTTAGAGGATTTGATTGTCTTATGACTTCTTTTACACCACATGCAATACTCCCAAGTCGCATACAGTATTGTAAACAATTATCGTACCTGTTACTAAGTAAATATATCTTAGTGTGTTATTTACAGAATAATTAATCATATTCAAACAACATGTTCAGACAAGGTGTCGATCCGTTGTATCCATTCTAGCATGAAGTGCCACAGCACGTTTGGAGCTTATGGTTTGAAGCTTTGTTCACTCGCAACAACTTTACTTTCAACAGGTGCATAGTCGTGTATTTATAGTTAACTCGCTAATTAAATTGCTTTAAATTGCTCAATAAGTTCAAATTAAGGTTTTCACTGTAAATAGTTTGAGAATTTTATACCCGGGTTAATTTTTCAAGTTAATAAAAAGAGTTAGATAAAATCCAGGTATGTTTCCCTATTCTTTTATATAGAAAAATGTGATCTCATCATAAGGCCGTAGACACATAAAGAACGAAAATTTCTTGCTTACATATTTTGTAATTACTATTAAATGAGCCTAAAAATGTCTCAAAATATGCAAAAATTAACTCAATGTACGCAGCCAATTAAATATACTTTCGTATACTGCATTTGCAATCTCGTTGCGCAATCAAAATACTCGTATTTCACCGATTGTTTTCCAGAGGTTGAAAGTTTACACTGAACGATTCCCAGAATGATCTATTTGCACATACTCTGTCTGTAATGCACTGTAAATGTAACGTGCATTTCTTATCAAACTTGTTACATGTATTAAGCAATAGTGGTTGCTGTTTTTAGTATTATAGAAAACTAAAATAACATTTTTGGTTTTCGTCAACCAATGTTTAGTTATTTTACCATTATTTAAATCATTGAAATGTGTTTAAAAAGTGTTTATTTAAACGTATGTTTAACACAACAGTTACAGAAATTGACACATAAAGAATACCATCCTGTGACGATTCAATGAGACATGTGTCGTTGTGTTCAGAGTACATAGGTATTCATCAACAATCCTTCCCAACAATGTGTGGAGTACGTTACAAGCGACAGTTGAGTTTCTGTTAATCTCTGTTACAACTGATGTTCACGAAACGTATGAATAGAACGCTCTTTTGAGTATCGCGAATGTGCTTTAACGATTAGAAATATCAGAATGAATCTTCACCTTAATTTACATAATGTATAGAGGAAAGCAGTCTAGTTAGAACAAACTTCTCAAATCAGGCTGCTTCGCAAATGCAAGCTATATTTATTGCCTTTCAATGCATGACCGTTTACATACAAGTGATAAGTAATAAGTGAAACAACCCAAAACGGAAGCTGGATCCATTCCCTGGTGTAAATTGTAAGGATTATTGTATACTGTTCAATACTGTTACTG